GGAGGACTAGAGAGTCCGGGTGAGTACCTGCCTGACCCCGCCGCGCCACGCAGCCTCGCCCCCTGGGGCCTAGAAGTGTTTCCAGAGTGTTTCCTCTGCTGGAGCCCGAACCTGGTTGCGTCTTGCAAGTCCCGTTGGGCCTCTGACAACCTAGACGGGCCGATACGCAGCCTGCCGCGTGTACTCGTGCTGACTTAGTGCTTTAACGCCCCGTAATAATCCTTAAAATGGGAGTCTGCCTCCCACAGATCGTCCAGATTGTGGGGGGAGTCACCCGGGACAAGACCAGGTCTGGATCCCCACGGAGGAGGTCTTGTATCCTCCGGCTTTGGGGTTGACTAACTCTACCGCCCCCTGCCTCCTGTTACCGTAGGGCCTGCTAACCAAGAACGGTTTTTACATTCTTATATGGCTGGAAAGAGGTCACAAGAATATTTTGTGACACGTAAAAATTATATGACATTCACATTCCAGTGTCCAGAAAGTGTTAGGAACACAGCCACGCTCAGTTGCTTATGTATCGTCTGTGGCCGCTCTCACTTCATAAGAGCGCAAAGTCGGAAACATTCTCTATCTAGCTAGCACTTTGCAAACGTGTGCCCACCCATCACCTAGCAAATTGAATCGCCAATGGGAGCAAGGGCTGGAGCACACACGAAATGCAGCATTTATAAGTTCGAAATAGCACAGTCAGTATTACACCAGCTGTGTGTTTGGGGAAAGAAAAAAGGAAAAGAAAGAGAAGCTTTCTACATGAGACTCTACATAAAATGAAGTTTCGAAACTTACACCAGGGGTTAGTGAAAGATGGAGTGATTCCAAGAGAAAAGGAAATCTTTTGCATATTCAGAAACTTCAGCCAAATTGCTCTTTTCAATACGTGGAAAAGCAGAACACTTCGTTAGCATATTGTCATTAGTCTGCCAAACAGTTTGTGTTAGGGAGTTGCTATTTTCATATTATTTCATATTATTTTCATATTATTTCATATTGATTCTGCACATGCCACCTCTAACTATTTTGCAGTTTGGAATCCAAAATGTACCAACTTGAGTAGTAAAATAAATGAAATATTATAAGCACCAGCTATGAAAAGGGACTCAACAATATATTTTACTTAGGGTAAAAGGAAGTGGTTAAAATTACTTATTTTGGGTTTGCTCATGGATACCTTAGTCGCTTCTCCTACCCCTATGCAAATGCTCTGTGCTGCTGAGGAAAGCTTTGCACTTACTGGGAGAATAAAGCACGCTGATATCCCATGAGATGGGGGCGATTAGATTCCTAGTAATCGGATGCCCTGCGTTGATGAGGCTGGAAAGTCCAAATGGTTGTCTCTCTGGAGACATTCAGTGATTAACAGCGTGTAGTTGATCAAATTTGTTTGCTTCATCGAGGCTGCTGCTGTGTATACATACAGTATTTAGGCAGGGGTCCTCAAACTACGGCCCCCGGGCCACATGCAAATACAAATATTGTATTTGTTCCCGTTTTGTTTCTTTACTTCAAAATAAGATATGTGCAGTGTGCATAGGAATTTGTTCATAGTTTTTTTTTAAACTATAGTCCGGCCCTCCGACGGTCTGAGGGACAGTGAACTGGCCCCCTGTTTAAAAAGTTTGAGGACCCCTGATTTAGAGACTGGCAACTCTTGATTGAAAGCTTTTGAAATGTGATTTTAAAATAGTTCTTAAAGAGGGCTACAGGCAGTGAAATAACAGAACCTGGTGTTGAGGTTGACAGTGCCGGGCCTGAACTTAGGAATCACCAGAAGTTGCCCTGTGCATCCAACACTGTCTGAAATAAATGGCTTCTGGGATTTCTACACCCCTACCACCCCTGCTACTCATCCCAGCCAGAGGTCTTGCTTCTGCTGCTTCCAGTTCCCCACCCTTCCCACCACATTGTCATCTGTTCGTTGCTAATGGACTGTACCCAACATTTGCCCAAGCACTGACTTGGACAGGCTAAGACTACTAACTAATATAGAACCGAGGGTTCCTGTTTTGGTAAAAAAATTGCGTTGGACTGGGGGAGTTCCCTCCTGAGCGCAAGAGAATTTATAATAGTAGGTTCTTGACTCTCTCTCACTCCAAGTTTCTGAATTGCTAGAATTTCCGCCCAAATAATCCCCTCAAGCCTGTTTCCAGGGCAGCAACCACACTCATTACTTACATGCTATGTAACTGATACAGTATCCTAATGTGTATGCACAAATGTGGCAAGAAGCACAGGGGACCAGTAGTCCTTGCCATGTAGTGTGCAGAGAAAATATACACCCATCAATAATACATCAAGAAAAAGGACATTAATTATACATGAGAGCCTCACAAGCCAGCGCATGTGCACCATTTTTCTTTGCTCTTGGTAATGAAGTGCTTTTTAGCAGCTTGGAAAGAGGTCTAGTTTTGTTTCTCTTTTCCAAAACATACTAGCTGTGTTACCTTGGGCAAGTCACTGCATTTTCTGGGCCAGTTTCAACTGTAAAATGAAGGGGTGGACTAAGTGAACTCCCTAAGCCAGTGGTCGGCAAACTGCGACTTGCGAGCCACATGCGGCTCTTTGGCCCCTTGAGTGTGGCTCTTCCACAAAATACCAACTTCTGCGCACAGGCCACGAAGTTTCAATTGCACTGTCCGTGCACGCCTGCACGTGGTATTTTGTGGAAGGGCCACAATCAAGGGGCCAAAGAGCTGCATGTGGCTTGCGAGCCACAGTTTGCCCACCACTGCCCTAAGCCATCCTTTCAGATGACAAAGGACATTTATCAACAAAAAAGTAGGAAAGGTACCCTCTCAAGATAAAGGGCAGCCTTCTCTACCCCCTCCCCCCAAAAAAATAGTTGCCACCCTTGCACTGACATATTAAAAATAAGAATAGGGTAAAATTAAACCCAAAAGAAAAATTATGTGGACAAAAAAAGGGGCCACATACTAAACCTGACCAGCTCAAGGGAGGCCTGTGTGGCGGGCCTTGCACACAGAGACGGAAAGGAACCTCACAGGATGGTCAGAACATAAATACTCCTGACAAAGCTCTTCATGGCAGGTGTCACATCCTGGGCCTGGACCTTCCTTGACAAAGGTTCGATTTTTACCTTAAGTAAGTCTACCTGTTGTCTTTTTGCATCTAAGATAACAAACCCTTGGAATGTCAGCCTAATCTCCTTTTTCTGGACCCCACAGAATATAACCTCACACCAGGGCATGAGACCACACCACCCCTCACTGTTATCTTGTTTCCCAAATACCATCCCTGTGTGCTGTGAATGTTCACTGTTAACTCTCCTGTACCCACCAGTGTAAGAAGTGTCTCTCTGTTTTGTTCTTTATCCAATCTCAGGGATTTCCCATTTTGCTTTATCCCACCTCCCTATCACGAATGAATTTCACGTAACCCCCCTTCTGTCTCTTCCTGTTTTTAATGTATAAAATAAGCAGCAAAACTACCATTCTCCAAATCCATTGAGATTTGGCAATTGTCAGTTTGGCTCAGATGAACTCATAAAAAAAAAAAAAAAAAATGTAACCCCCCTTCTGTCTCTTCCTGTTTTAAATGTGTAAAATAAGCAGCAAAACGACCATTCTCCAGAGCATTTTTTCAATCCGTTGAGATTGGGCAATTGTCAGTTTGGCTTGGATGAACTCATAAAAAAAAAAAAAAAGGTCTGCAGATTTGGACGTTTCTTACGTAGACAATTACAGCATAAAAATTTACAGTACTCATTGTCTGTAATTGGTCCCTTGACATGCTCGGTCAATTTGGGTGGGATATATATTCAACAATGCAACTCCTGGTGAAACTCAGGTGCCCAGCGTGTTCTGTTACTGTATTTTTAGCATAGTCATTATTGAATCCTTGTCTCACACAGGCATGTTAATGAAAGTGGGACCGAACCTTAAGCTATTGCTCTCAGGTTGGAATATTCTGGGTAAACTGAGCCGACGCCAAAGAACAGCCGCCCCTCTGCACCAGGCTCTTCTCCCCCTCACCTCTCCCTGGGGGACGTCTGGACACAGGTCAGAGATGGGAACCCCCAGCTCAGGGGCCACTCCCCAGGAACAGCACAGCTTAGATTGCTGCTCAGCCAAGCAAAGCAGTCAGGGGTAAAGAGCAGCTTTCCAAGGCTCCCTCCACTGGCCTTCCCCTTTTCACGTAAAAGGTGAAACTGGCCCATTGGAAGGGGCTCTGTGATGAACCTTAGGTGGCCATGTGTGAGACTGCCCTCCAGCCCCTCGACCAGGGGTCAACAGACCAGGGTCTTGTGCCTAAAGCCTGGCCCTCTGCTTCAACATTTGCCATCGGTTTTATGATAGGGAGCACAAACTTGCAAATCCAGTAAGGAAAATGTTATCCAAAAAAAAAGAAAAGAAAAGAATTCCATTCTTTTCATTAGTAGACATGTATTACCCAAAAACAGTTGTACACGAGTATTATTATGTCTAGACTGTTATCAAAAACATAGTGGAAATTTGTTTTCTCTCTCATATAAATAGCTACATAATAACCTGGATTTTGCCTCTTTACCCACAAAGCCTCTAACATTTACCGCCTGTCCCATTTCTGAAAAAAAATTATCTACCCTAGCCTCAGACCTAGGCTTTTGGGTGGGGAAATACAGCCCTTAACGCAGAGGGGAAAGAGAGTCAGAAGCTCTGTGGTTCCCTCCGTGGGGAAAATGGATCATGTCCGAGTGATTGAATCCAGCAGGTAAAAGGCGACCTGGCTGAGAGACTGGGTATAAAACTGTAGGGTGCTCTGCAACCTCGCGGCTCTTCCACAGCCTTGAAAACACACCTTCAAGGGTATCCACTTTGTCACGGGCCCTTTCAGTTCCCTTGACTTGGGCACACAGGCGCTGAGCACGCACCATCTGTGGGCAGTTAGCAGGAGAGAGTGGCCCAGAGAAGCTAGCACAGGCATACCTCATTTTACCACGCTTTACGGACGTTGTGTGTGTTTTTTTTACAAATTGAAGTCAAGACCATCCACCAGCAAAAAGATTATGACCACCTTTATTACAGGGTGGTCTGGAACTGAACCCACAGTATCTCCAGGGTGTGCCTGCACCGGGTGAAGCTCCTCCACAGACTGTGGATAGTCCAGGGCTGAGCCGTCTTTCCCCTCAGCTGGCCCTCCCAGTGTAGGACTCTTTCTTTTACCTCTTCAGGCATCTAAATGATAACCATTCAATTTTTTTTTTTTTAGGAAATTTCAGAAGACATTTTCAAAGCTAATCATGAAAACATTTGTCATTGGGATTGGTGGGTGAGTAATTTTGCTACACACAGGTCCAGACACTCAGGATGCCCAAAGGGTGTTTTCATGTGGACGCGATGGGGGAAGGAGGAGCAGTGAGGATTCCCGAGTCCTGGAGAACAGGCCAGTATCAAATGTAAAATGGAGCACTGCCTGCATAAATGCCAACGGGAGATGGGAGTTTCCTCGTAAACAGAAAAACAGGAGAGTCAGTAAGCTACTTTATCATTTATTTTTTATACCAAAGGCGAGGCCTGATCAGATGCTATTTTGGTTCAGGATGGTTTCATTCTCCAGATGGCTGCTCCCTCAGTGTGACGTTGGAGAGAAGCTATCATTTCTTTTCTGTTACGCCCAGCTTTGGACATATGGAATATGGAACCACTTCACTTGGCTGGTGTGGTCAGCTGAAATGGACCTCCCACCTGTCCCCAAAGTGGAAAGAGATCAGGGGAAAAGGAGACATTGCAAAGGGAGAGGTGAATTCATGCGAGGTGGGCTTAAAATAAGCCATTCCTCCATTTTTCTCCACTGTGCATTGAAAAAGAATCTCGATGACCAAATACAGTTTTATATATTTGCATTAAAATGTAAAATGCTATATTCTGTGTTGCATATGAACCCTGTGCAAAAAAAAATTATTTTTTTTCCAACACAATAGCTGTATTTAGTCTTGGTATTACCCAGTTCACTTGCCCAATAGTTAGTTACCTTTCTCCTCAATCCTTCCCAGCTTATTTCTTTTTTTGAGAATATATTTTTATTGATTTCAGAGAGGAAAGGAAAGGGGGAGAGAGGTAGAAATATCAATAATGAGAGAGAACCATTGATCGGCTGCCTCCTGCATGCCTCCTACTGGGGATCAAGCCCACATCCCGGGCATGTGCCCTGACCAGGAATCAAACTGTGACCTTCTGGTTCATAGGTTGATGCTCAACCATTGAGCAGCACTGGCCAGGTCCCAGCTTATCTTATAATTTATTGCACCGTCTACTTATGCCTTGGTTTTCCTCACAGAAAAACATTATCTATGAAAGAAATAGTTTTCCTTAGATATTAGATATTGCTTTAAATCAGTGGTTCTCAACCTTCTGGCTCTTGCGACCCTTTAATACAGTTCCTCATGTTGTGGTGACCCCCAACCATAAAATTATTTTCGTTGCTACTTCGTAACTGTCATTTTGCTACTGTGATGAAACGTAATGTAAATATCTGATATGCAGGATATATTTTCATTGTTACAAATTGAACATAATTAAAGCA